CTCAGAGATCAGAGGCAGCAGAGGGCAGTGTGACGGTGAAGTACAGCCTGGCAGGTCGACCCTCTCAGAACCAGCTGCACTTCAGTGTCAAACCTGCAGAGGACACTGGGTAAAGAGCTGTTAGTGTGACAGCAGGGTTAGACAGTGACTTCATTCTGTTGGCATGTGTACCATCAGGTGTTCACCCTGCCATCCTCGCTGCCATCAGCACTGACTGCAAAGCACCATGACGCCAATGTACTGTTTGTAACACAAACTGTTTTCATTTCACGTCAGTTTCATTCATTGAAATCCTGTTTTCATGTCCGTGTTGACCTTTAACAGGATGGAACAAAGCAGATCTGTTTTCCATTCATAGAAAGGTGAGTTAAGCTCTGGCTGTTCTTCCTCCTCTCTCCTGTCTGCAGATTAACTGTCCACCGGTTGGCGGCTCGGACTCTGATTCACTCCCTGGAGATGGAGGACAGAAGTGATATGAGAAAGAATGATGGAGGAGTGAAGGAGAAGGTGGTGCAGCTCAGTGTCCAATCAGGAGTGAGCAGTTCCTTCACAGCCTTCATTGCTGTCAACAAAGACAACCACGAGGCCATCCAGGGACCTCGAGTGACACGGTTCAGTCATGGTGGTTGTCTGATAGCATCCTGATTCTGATGTTGTCATCTCAAACTTCTTTTGAGTGTTTTAGCCACAGTGATGGGCCGTAAGAGGGAGGCTGACGAGGCCCCAACACCACAGCAGCCCCCCAGAGAGCCTTCGCTGCAGCTGGTCTCCTTCCAGAAGGCCTCTGGCTGCTGCTCTGGGGAAGACCAGCAAGGAGGTGGACAAGTCAAAACCCGCACCGGTGGGTGATCATCTAAGACCAGAAGATTACAGAAAAGAAAAGATTAATTGCAGTTTTTTGAAAGCAGATTTGATTGCAGTTTGCAGGAACACACATGATACAGTACAGTTTGTGTGACTTGGTGAACTAGGTCAGGGAGGAAGTGTGGGCCACCATCCTGGCTCTGATCTGGCTTCATGGCTGCAAGATGGACTCAAAGGAAAAGTGGGAGCTTCTGGCTAAGAAGGCTGCATCGTGGCTCCGTGCTCACAGCGGTAGAAACCGATTAATCAGTGCTCAGCTGCTGTTTTTAACAGTGTGTTAAAATCAGCTGGTTTTGCACATTTATGATGCTTGTTTTTTGTACTTTTTTCAGCACCGGCTGTGATGGAGTGTGTGGAAGCTGGAAATGCACTGCTGGGATGCAGCGTGCAGAAAGACGCCCTGATGCTCTGAGGCCTTTATTAGAGAGGCTTCACCCTCAGGACCACGGCTCAGATGCTTTAATCATTTCTACAAAGTTTATTATTCTCTTCTGTCTTCATTTAGTTATGCAGAGGTCTGATATAATCATGTCAGACTTCAAAATAAGTAGATTTTTAAAATTACCTATTTTAAAAATCAATTTGTTTCCAGTTTATTTACACTTTTTATTTAAAAAAACAAGAAAGCAAGAAAACCAAAAGCTTCTCTGGATGATTGTTCTTGTCGTGGACAACATGAATGGAGGAATCTGAGGCCTTCCACTTCCTGACGGAGGAGCGCTGAAGCAAGGCAGGTTTAATTGTGAAGCACACTTTGTATGCAGGGGCATTTCAAAGAGCTTTGCATTGTGTATTAAATGTTTAAAAAGGAAATCAGTGTAAAACCGTTCTGATTCAAACTGTTTAACACACCTTTTCATTAAAAAAAAACTGTATATATAGTGTTAGAACATAAAATGAATCCAGGATCTAAATGGGAGTCGGTGACGTCATTGTGTTTCTGAAGGGACACATTTAACCAACTAACTGATTCTGTGCCCTCAAACACCTTATTGGGACGTATGTCATTGATTATGTGCGCTAAATTCCCTGCTACCAATGTGACAGTAATTCACATTGCCCTGTAGTTGGGTTTCAGTCCTCCTCTCCCATTCAGCCTCAGTAATCACCACAATGATCCTACAGTTCTGATCATTATTAGCAGTTCTAGTGATCATTAAGATCTATCTGAATGTGAGTGTGCTTGGTTTGTCTGTCTCTCTGTCTAGCCTGTGATAGACTAGTTACCTGTCCAGGTGAACCTGCCCCGAGTCAGCTGGGATAGACTCCACCCCCCTGTGACCCCAGTGAGGATTAAGCAGTGTATAGATAATGGATGGATGGATTGGGACCTATCTATAGCTCCTATGGCACCAGCAGTCCTTTGCTCTCTGTCCCTCAGACCGTCACCTGGTCTGTAGCACCACCTGGTGGACGCAGTGTGTTTCTCATTAGAGGCTGTCATTTCTACATGTGTGATGCATTCCTTTTGTTAAACGCCTTGAACTAAGCTGAAAGTTTACCCTTGATCACTTAATTACCTCTGCCAAGGAGGTTATGTTTTAGCCAACATTTATCTGTTTGTTCATTTGCTTGTTAGCAACATAACTCGAAAAGTTCTGGACGGATTTTCATGAAATTTTCAGGAAATGTTGATAATGGCACAGTAAACAAATGATTAAATTTGGTGTTCTGGCTTACCGCCTGGTTATTCGGTCATAAAACAGTAAATGCTGTTAAGAGTTACAGTGTCACAGAATGCTGTCGTTGCGCTGTTTGTCCACTAGATGGAGCTCTGCCTCCATTCAGTCCTTCAGTCCTCACCGCTGTCTTCCCAGTAGTACAGGAGGAAGCTACAGCCAGGCAGCATCACAGGAGTGGGCTGAGCGGAGCTACTGACAGATAAGCTCAGAACCATGTCGTGACATTAACAATGACTCAGCATGTCTCCTGTTTCACTTTAACTCTCTTTGCCATGTGTCAGGACGACTGACGTATGATTCATTGCGTCGGTCATGCTTTTCATTTACGTTGCTAAAGTTGTGCTAACCTAGCTTAAGCTACTCCCTGTCTGTTTATGTTAGCAATAGCAACGCTGTAGCTATGCCAACCTAGCATAGCATTAGCTAACAGCTTAAAGCCAGTAAGGAACTGTAGAAACAACGTAAGTGTAGAAACCGTTTGAGAGTCCAGAGCGAGCGTTCATCGCTCCGTCAGCTGGTTATTAATGATGTCAACGTTAACTCAATGCTAAAGCTATGGTCTGATTGTCCATGAATCTCACAGTGTAGATAAATAAATGCAGGACTTTTACATCAGCTGGAAATCACAACAAGGTGGAAACGAGCTGCTTGGAGGAGGTCTGAGCTCTCAGAGGGCTTCTCTAGTTTTTTCTGAATTGTGGTGGCGTAGAGAGGCACAGTTACTGACAAATGCTGAAGGACCACACTGTGTTACTTCCCTTTCTTTGAATATTATTGGCCTAAATATTGGACTTTGTGTGGCTGCATGACATGAACACTAACATGCACTTTTGGTGCAGCAGACATCTCCACATGCTACACTGGAGATGTTGAAGAGCGCAAAGGGTCATTAAATCACACGCTTTCAGTGACAAAGGATAATATATATGGCTTTGTGATTTATAATTGAACATTATCTCTGAGAAAATCTGAACTAAATGATGGTTTTCAACCTTCCTGCGTCAGTACACTGCAGTGGAGTGAAGCACTGAGAATGACATGCTGACTGTAGGACTGTGGGAGCAAACACACTACAGTTTAAAGTAAAGGGTGAATGGACTTGATGGATTCAGATATTCTCCACAAACAGTGATGAAGGAAGTATTTGGAAAAGAAAGTAGTAATACTACACGGTGACCATACTCTGTCACAAGTAAATGTCCTGTGCACTTAAATAAATGTATGTGGTGTAATCACAACATCAGGTGTTAGAGTACTCATTTACTGTTATATATTCTGTCATTAGCTGCATCTTACTGGTGTAATTGTTTGAAATGGAGCTCAGTCTTTTGGACTACAGCTCTGAAGGATTATTTTTGTGATGAATTATTCTTCTGATAGTTTTCTCCATTAATTGATTGTTTCTGACAATAGGGGGAAATCACACTGCAATTACCCAGAGCCTAGAGGACACCTTCAAAGTGTTTGTTCTGACCAACAATCGGTCCAAACCTCTGAATGCTTAAAGGTACATTTACATTCTTAAAAAGACTGAAAGGAAAAGCAAAGCTTCACATTTGTGAATTATGACATTTTGTTCCATGAAAATGACCTAAATGAAGAGCAAAATAGCTTCCAGCCAACTCACTGATTAATTGTCTCAGCTCTACTTAATTATAACCAAACATTAGGTTTTATAAGGTTTTCATACACTTTGTGTGCAGAAATGTTCGTCTGTAAAGCAACTAGAGCTGTCAGGTAAATTAAAAACGTACCAGATTTACCTCTGAAATGTGATGCAGCAGAAAGTCACTGCAAAGACTCACGCAAAAGTAGCTCAAAGTTTTACTGCAGTACAGTCGTCACGTTATACCACAAACATACCTCAAAGATGTGAACACACACTAGTGCTGCCTGCAAGAAGACTGACACACATCGTAGCACCCACATATCCAGAGCACATGCTAAAGGCTGTGTAGAGATATTTGAGGCATGTTTTAGAAAGATGCACTGAAAATGTCCTTGTTTGAAGCTTATGGAGCTGTTCCTGGATCAGTTACGTAAAGGCACGAGTGAACATGCACGACTGCAACAGCCAAGTGGGCTTTAAACATACAATATGGATGGATATAGTCTGTTATTCAGGAGGGTGTTTCTGCAGACAGTGCTGGTCATTGGCAGAGCAGGCAGAGCCACCTCTTTGTGCCTTCACAGTCTGTCCGGCTTGGAGGAGGCATCGGCCTGCTGGAGTCTGTCCTCGCCTACAGAAGGTCCAGAGCAGCAGCCAGCACTGTCCTTGGAGCTGCAATAATCTGTATTTATACAACTAAACGCCATTCAGTCAGTAGAGCTCCAGTCAAAATGAGAATACGAGCATGTGAAAACAGTCACAGGACGGCGTCTGTGAGCATCAGCAGTGTTGTTCCAGCGTACAGGGCTGGAGGTTTAGCACAGGTTCATCAGACATCAACAGGTAACAGAACAGGAAAAGACACGTAGTAAGACACTGTTGTAAATGGACTACTCCTCCCTGTGGTAGTTTTTGCTGAATGTGCATGTAAGCTGTGTTTGTCACCAAGTCAAGGAGAAAAGCCGGTTCACTGAAAAGCCTCCAGATGTGGTCCCTTCACAGAGAGGGCTAGATTGAAATCCTCTGGACATAATAGGACGGCCACGCTCTGGTAGGAGCCATCAGACGTGCTGCTCGTTAGTGCAGTTCAGAGACAGATTCAGGCCGACGAGGTTGTTGCTGTGGCAGACAGCGTAAAGCCAACGCTGCTCACATCCTCATTGCATCATTTCTTCTTTTATTTGTGTGAGCAATGGAGGATGTAGCTACAGTGAAGCACAAAGTTTGACCTCATGCACCGTGCTCACTTGAACAGAACTGCTTTCAAGTTCATCGTATTTCGACGTGAAACGAAAGAAAAGACAACAAACAGCTTTTCTGCTTATAATGCCAACGGCACCGTGTTGGTTACAGTCGGTCATTACAGCTAATCCTATCCGAACCTTTGGCAGACCTCCAACCATCACTTTCTAAACTGGTTTCCAAGGCAACCTCAACCAGCAGCACCAATTAGGACTGACAAAGGATCCGAGCATTAAACTGCCTGGAGATTAGAGGAGAGAAGACACATCCTCACACCAAACACAACAAATGAAACAAGAGCTCTGATCTGTGGGTGTGTCTATATCTCTATGTGTGTCTGTGTGTATGTACATATCGACACACACACACACACACACACTTTGCATGAGCTGCACCTGTGGGCTGTTTTGTGTCGGCTTCAGCCTATCCATTAGGGGGAAAGATTTAATTAAAGCTGCCATCTTTCCTCCCTCTCGTCTGTTTGTGTCTGTGGCACCGCTGCATGTTGTTGCAGCCCTTGGCAGGAAACAGGATCAATGAGAACTAGTTTAGAGGCTGCCGGTCGTCGGCGTCCAGGCCATCAGTGGGACACTATAGCCTCTGAGCAGCACATCAGTCACATGCCATGCTGTGTGGATCGATTCGGCAGCCTTTGAGCTTCAGTGGGGGATCTACTTTATTGAATAGCCGACACCCGTGGTCCGCCTGTGTTGGTTGGTTGCTGTGTGTTTGTGTCAGTGCCTGTGAGTTGAAATGTGTGCCAGATATTGCTGACCTTTACTGTAAACCCTTTTAGCACACTCATGTGGGGTGGGAGTGTTTTATTCTCCTCATCGGTTCCCCTTGAAGCCAAACCGCAGTGAAAAACGGAGTCTAGACCAGAATGGAAGGGTTTAATGTCTACTTTACTATTTGACTG